TATTCCGCTTTTCACAATTGAATACATGGTAGATGATACTTAACGTTTGTGCATATAGTGTTTATATATATATATATATATATATATATATGTGTGTGTGTGTGTGTGTGTGTGTGTGTGTGTGTGTGAAGAAATATAGTTTTAAGGTGTGCTATATTTATGGGATAAAGTGCTCAATATCAGAGATAGAGCGTATGTAAATATAAATATAATAGTGAACATTTAAGTCAACACTCAGAGGCGACAGGATGTTTCATGTTGCATATTATATATATATATATATATATATATATATATATATATATATATATATATATATATATATATTATGGCATAAAAAGCAAGAAATTTTATATTATAGGCCATGGTAGATTTAAAATAAAAACAAAAACACACACACCAGTCGACCGGTTTCGTCAATATATATATATATATGTTTGTGTGGGCATAATTACGAGAGGCGGTGATATGTGTGTTCTATGTTGTAGTTTTGTTGAAGTTATATTTTGGAATAGAGTTTGATTTCTTTAAGAAATTTTAAGATATTATATGGATTAATGTCATGAAAGAGTTCTTTCATGTTGGTTGTTTGGTTGATTTTATTTAACGCCATAACAACCTCTATGGGTCATTTAATACCGAAATCTAAATATTCTGAACACAATTATATAACTTCAACTAAATATATTTTGAACCAATTGCATGTCTTCAACTACAGATGAAATGTACTGTTGCTAATTCTACTTTAAAATGTATTCTTGGTAATTCCACTATAAAATGTATTGTTGGTCGTTTTACTATAAATATGTATTGTTGATCTTTTTTTTTACATAAAGATGATATCTTTACTATAAAAATGTATTTTTATACTTTCATAGTGTTTTGTTTCAGTATCGGGTTTCACTATTTGCCCATAGCTGGCATACTAACAGGTGCTATCTCCACGGATGGGCCTGGAAACAACAGAAGTCAAGAGGTGGTTTGATGCTCCTCAAAGCCTCCACTCCCTCCCTTGCTGCCGGATGTAGTTTATCTTCATACCCAGGACTAAAAAGAATATAAATATATTTCGTTAATATGTTCAATTGAATTAAAGTAAAAGGTCATGGGTAAAAAAAATTACGAAAAAAAGTCACAGGAGAAAAAGTCAACTGAAAAAAAAAAACAGGACAATGTTAGCAAACAACAGACAAATTCACAGCAGATAATCCACAAGCGGATAAGCACCCAAGCCTCTTATCCCAGGTCTCATAAATAAATTGAAAATTCAAGGAACCTTCAATTTAATTGAGACTTTCTTTACATAAAGCCGGGTCTTATGGGATAGTAGGACTTTCTAAGTATCAAATATATCGAATATGCCACCATAGCATTATTAGAATAAAGGTTTTATGGCTTAAGCTATCTTCGTTTACGATCTCCGTGGTTTGTTTACGTTTTGGCGCAAACTTAAAAAAATAAAATCATCTTAAGGTTTTCTTCAATTCTTATGCAATACTAGGACTTTCTAACTCGGAAATACATCGAGTATTGTTAGAAAAAAAAAGTACAGGTTGAATTGATTTACTATGATTTTCTGTTGCAAACAGAGCCGATGCATAAACTTGTAAAGTCCCCAACAGAACAGTATTTACATTAGTCGGACTTGAGGACACATGGCACAGTGGATAAAGGCGTTGGTTAGATCCAGTGACAGACCCAAAGTTCAATACCTGGTTAAGGCAGTGGCGAACCCTCAGAGGGAAAATTAGCAGGAGATAACTGACATCCATCAAACATGGCACGTGGAACTAGAACAGTCTACCCCAGTGAGCGAAATAAATGGTTCAGTTCGAAATTCCAACCACCTGAAGAAGGCCGGAGCGTACAACGGCCGAAACGTTGTGACAAATATGGCGACAAAGATGAGGACAATAGTCCGACTAATGTAAATACTGTACATAATACCTCATCTCAGAAATATAGACAGACTCCCCAACAGAAATAGATGATTTTATTACCAGATATAACAAATTAATTGCGACTTTACCCCCTAGTCAAAACTGTGACTTTTTTCTTGTGATTTTAATAACTGCCATGGTTCAAATTATGATATCAATATTCATAAGTTCACAAACTACGATTTCTTTTAGTCTCAAAAATCATAAGCATTCTGGGAATTAATATAAGAGCCAATACTGTATATTTTAATTTTTCATATTAGCAAATACTCTATTCTATGATGTAAAGTTCCTTTTTGACATGTGCCATTATGGCTCTCCTTAGTTTCCTGTTCTTTATAGATCTAAGCAACATTTATATCCTTACCATACCTGCCGATCCCTGCACTATCCCTGCATCCTTTTACATAAACTCATTCAGTAAGTAAATCGTTGCTCAGCTCACACCTTTAATATATCCTGTGAGTGTTACATTCTCTAAGTCTTATTTCTTCATTATGTCCTGGAATTTCTAACTCTCACTTTCTCTAACAGTAAGTAGAAGTATGCATTTCTTTCCTATTTTCTTGGCAACATCATCGTTGCTTACACGGCGTTCTTAACATAATCCTTTAGACTCATATGTCTACTGCTTTATGGTTAATCTTCACTTTGAGGCATGGAAGAACCCTAAAGTTAGTGTCTCAGTAAAGTAACCGTGGAGAAGATATGGGAAAACACATCACTATTTTTCCAGCCTTGATAGATTTCACAGTCATTTACACAATTTTGCGAGGTGGGTGACTTATTTTGCAGACTCTTTCGAACATTCACAATACTGTCGCTATACTATCGCTATTTCCCATGGCAAATGTGAAGATGGAAGTAACTGTATGTCTAAGCACAATGGTAATTCATTGGAAAGCCAGAATTTTATTTGAAAATTAATATATGAATTTATTCTTTTCCTTCACCAAAATTGCGAAATACGAGAATTTTTTGCAACACCCTGGTGCGTGTGGAAATCCTCACAATATTTAATATCGTTGAAGTTATCACTAACATTTCTTGTTAAGATTTATAAACTCTACTCAAACCAATAGACGAAATTTGAATAAGTTGATTTGTTTGGAAAATACTTTGACAAAGGTCCTACGTCGAGGTTTAATAATTTCTTTAATTTAATTTCATAGGACTTCATGGTAAACAATATTTTGAAGAGAAATTCTTTTTTTCTTTCTTTAACAGCGATTCTTAAGATTTCTTACACATGAGCATGCAACATACAACTGGCTATGCGTAAATATTTCATTCAGAAACCAAGTTCCAACTTTTTGAAGCGTTTGGCCTTGTCATTTTTTTTTATAGTTCTCGGGCGAACTGGATTTTGTATATACAAAAACTTAAAGAAAATCTATGCAGAGAACAATATTGCATTTTTATTTGTTATTTTAATGACAATTTTTTTTAAATAATGGGTGTATTTTGTATATTAAATAATAAAACTTTTAATTTTTCCAAAAATATTAATAAAAATTTATTGTACTAAGCTACATACACTAGTGAAACAATTGTACTTTGTACCCACTGACCTGTTTGCACTTCTCCCTAAAATTTAGTTTTGATCGGTCAACGTATGGCTATTTTAGAGGGTGTTACGGACAGACGGAATTTTATATATAGATCAATCTATGTAACTTACAGTTGATTTCCATAATATGCATATTTATAGTTGAAGTCTGTTTTGTGTTTTTTTTGCCTTAATTAATAACAATCTCCCTAAATTGAGACTTCCTACCTAAGAAAAGTTTTGTTTCCAACAGAAATCGAAACTGCATACACTTATTTTACCACGAAGAAAAAGGATTGATGTCGAAAAAGCGATGCAAGTTCGATTCTTGTCGGAAGCAGAATTTTCTTTAATAGGACTTCTCAATGTGGGCTGTTTGTTATTAATTTTACTGGTTAATAAAAACAACAATGAAAAAAACAAAGATTGCAACTAAAACACGTCTACTGACTAAAAATGACGTTTATAGGAATATGAATTAATACCGCATAAAAAACCTTTTTAAAATTACAGTTGAATCTATAATATGCGAAATGTATAACTGAAATTTCTAACATACGAAATGTATATTCTATAACGTAAGTGATTTGTAGCTGACTTCTGTAATATACGATGTGAGCAACGCCGAGGTTTTAGAGAAAATATAAAACAAAAGGCAACATATTTAACATCAGGAAGTGGCAGTTGAAATTACTGGGGAATGTAATGAGGAATGAAGGCTTGGAAAATCTGATACACATAGGACTGATTAATAGAAAGAGGGACAGAGAAAAACATCACGCAGCATACCTTGATGGGCTTGAGTAAATGGATGGTAGAATGGGGCTTGGGAGAAATGGCAAAAGGACAAAACTTCTTAAGAGCTACCAGGGACAGGAAAATGTGGAGGGTTATGATCGTTTACAACCCAAGAGGACACCGCACATGAAAAGGAATTGCTGCAATCTATAATATACGCAATATATGGGTGAATTCTACAGGGTGCGGCAGAAATACCTCCCACATAATGGTAACACATTCATAACAATAGTGTCTATTTAAAATTAAATTATGTGGGAGGTATTTCTGCAACAGCCTGTATAATATATGAAATTTATATTTGAATTCTCTCATATATGAAATGAAAATTTGAAATCTGTAATATACGAATGTCTTCAAATATTTCAAAGAAGTGTTAGATGTCAAGAGAAAATTTATCAAAAGACGTTTCAGCAGTGGAAAAGTAAGTGTGCGTATAATAACGCAAGCAATAAATGGAAAATAAAACAAATAAAACATAGCAATTCATTTCTAGACAAAGATATTAAAAAAAACATTAAAAGAAGGCTACTGATTCACAAAAACAAAGTTATAGACTAAGAAAATCCAATTTGAAATATACGTTCTGACGTATGTCGTCATCTTGTGACAAGACCTTGTTGAACGGAAGACGTTTACAATGGATAACAATTTTTATAATGAAAGAAGAGTAGAGAGCTTAAACGAAAACAAGATAAGAAAAGATATCGCCGATGGCTGCATTTGTTCCAACACAACACGAAGAGATTAGAGCGTTAACAAAAGAACGGAGGCTTATACCGTCTATCTGTCAACCATGATGATAATCTTCCCAGAGTTTATAGATGTCTAATAGGTCTTTCCACTTCCGGTGTGTTCGAGTCTTCGTTAATAACAATCCGGTTTCTCAAATCTGTTTGATTTCCCTGACATAAAACCGATGTCAAGGTTGTCAGTAATATATTCAGGACATTGTTAAGGTAATATTAGAAATGGCACTAAAATGTCTTTTGTGTGCCATGCACGAAAACAGCTCTCCGCAACTGTCCATTTTTTGATGCTCTAAGCAATATTTCTCCCCTTCAGGTTACTCCCCTATCTATGTACATTTTTTTACGGTACTTTTCAGTTATATGACTACATATTTTAGTACATATTTCAGTAATTTAGCTACTAAAGCCTGAGGAAGAAACAGGACACAAAGAAATAAGTAATTTATTACTGAGGAGGCATGGATATCTGTATATCAAGCCAAATCTGCTCGAGTAAATCAGTGTTTCTCTGTCACCTTCCCACATTAACTCATATAAGTAACTGTTGATAAATGAAAGCTAAGTATTTTCGCCAGCTGCAGAAAATTGAACATGAGAAGATTGTAGCTGTTAGCATAGAGTAATTAAAATTTTAAACTTAATATTTATCATTAAAACAAATAATTTATGTAGTCATTTAAAATTACAAAACTATTCACTTGCATTATATGTAGCAGGATAATTGAAAGAATGCAGCACATAGAAAATGTATCACAAATTAGTAGGATTGTGCTTGTCTCCTGAGATTTTATTGGTGTATTAATATTTTGTGGGTGTAAACTTGTATTTGTGTGTGACTTCTATCCGATGAAAATAATTCTGACAAAATTAGGGATAATGTTTCTAGACACTTTTCAGTGATCAGTCTACATATTTTAAACGACTACAAGGGGATTTAACTAAGGCCTGAGGAAGAAGCATAATAGGTTACTGAGATAATTACTAAAACCTGGGAAAGAAATATGGCACCAAGAAATAGTAATTTATTACTGAGGAGGCATGAATATCTTTATATCAATCCAAATCTGCTCAAATAAATCTGTGTTTTTATATCGTTGTCGTCATATAAACTCACATACGTAACTGTTAAAAATTGAACGCTCGCTACGAACTTGTCAAGATTTATTGCGTAAAATACACAATTGTGGCACAAGGCCGAAAAGGGGAGTAAGTGGCTGGTCCTCACTTACTATCCTATATCTAGCTAATCCGATTCAAGACCCATTCATTCGTTACAATTGACACATTCACCACAAAAAAACTCATTCATCACCAATCACCCCTCCATATAACATAATAATGCATACACTCAGGGGTGGGGGCCTAAAAAACACACCCCATCGCATAAAAATTTAATTTCATGATTATAAAATACTATACATAAAAATTTGTACATGTTATAAAATGAGAGGGGAGGGGTGATCCCCTCAAAAAAAAAAATCAAACAAAAATTCAAAACAAACAAAATAAAGATAAATTGTGTTAGTTGGACCCGTACAGCCCTTAAAAAGGAGAGACTGCTGTATTCTGCCCTACGACAGAATCAAGAGGGAGAGGGAAAGAAGAAAATATATACGGACTTGGGGGAATAAATAAAGCTGACCCAGTCGAGATCAAAGGAGGCCAAAAAACAAACTGCTAAGGTTGGGAATCTCAACTTGGATCATAACCAAAGATATAGCCGAGAGCAGGCCAGGAACAACACTTACTCACATTAATTAGATACACAAAGTTTGTCAAGCTAGACCAGGGGAGGGCTCTACAGGAAACCACCATAATGTGTATTAGGTAAACCTAACACAGAAAACCAAGGCTAGCCCCGTTTGCATGAACCAAACTCGCCACGGTCACCCACCTTTCGCTAAAGTCTGTGGAAACCAAGCGTTTTCTAACAGTTCTAATCTCCATCTTGAGCTGATGCTCAAAGAATCGGATTAGATCCTGATGAGAAAGACGGTTGCCTCGTAAGACTTCCTCCTGTCAAATCACCATTCGAGCCATGGCCAGCAGGGATAGAAATAGCATTCGTTTCCCTCCAGAATACAGGGGCGACACATTGTCACACGCGTATGCACAATAAATGAGCACGAGCTTATGGGGAGCGGGACGAGCCGTCAACTCGCCTACATGGTATCATAGGGGACGGACCCGAGGACAATGGTAGAACTTGACTTTTGTTGCGAAACTTTGTTTGTCTCCAAGTATTTATTGAGCCTGGGAAGATTGTAGCTGTTAGTATAGAATAATTAAAATATTAGGATTAATATTTATTACTAAAAAAAAAAAATATAATCTATGTAGTCATTTAAAATTGCACACCTCCTTACTTGTATTATGTTTTTTTTTTGTTTTTGTTTTTTTTTTAAGCATTTCACCCCAAGCAAGGCGGGGAGCCACTAGGACGCAAGGGGTTACAGAAAATAGGAAGATCAGATAGGAGTGATAGAAGAAAGGATGAGGGTAGTAGATAGATTAAGGCAACTGGAGATGTCGATTGACATTACACTTGAATAGCTGGAGATTATAACTCTCAGGGAAACAGGAGAAGGGAAGAGAGTTCCACAGGCGAGAGGTGCGAGACATGAAGCTATTAGAGTAGAAGAGACGGCTACATTTAGGAGTTTCGACAGTGAAGGGGTGAGAGCGGGATGCCAGCCTCGTAGGGCGCTTGAACTCATGAAGTTTGGGAACCAGCGAATGCAGTTCCTCGGAGCAATTTCCATGAAAGTATTTATAGAACAGACAGAGGGAGGCGACGGTGCATCTGTGAGAAAGTGACTGTAGACGAGACGCCAGGGCAGGGCCAACCATATTGCATATCCGCTTCTGGAGCCTATCAAGAACCCCGAGGCAAACAGAAGGGGCGCCAGACCATATATGGCAGCAATACTCCATGCAAGGGTGAATTGTGGATTTGTATATCTGGAGGATCGACTCAGGGGAGAAAAACTTCCTAGTGCGGCTCAGGGAGCCAACTTTCCTCGCAGTGGACGAGGCAATTGACTCGATGTATTTATTCCATCTCAGGTCAGCAGTCAACGTGAGACCGAGAAGCCGCAGAGAGTTGCTCTCGAGAAGTTGAGCGTCAGACATTCTAATGGAGGGAAGGGAAGGCTCTCTGTGGTGATTAATAGAGAGCAGTTTTGTCTTCGAAGCGTTGAAGTTGACCAGCCAAATCATTATACAGGGTGGGATGGATAAATTGTCATCTACATTAATCAAAAATGAAAATAACACTGACAACTCATTTTAACAGATATATTTACCAAAGTCACACCAAAAATATCTTGAAATACTAGAGAGTAAATTTATTCAATAAGTTCGCCATTAACTTCAATCACGGCTTCCAGACGACTTCGGAATCTCCTGCATCTCTTCTAGACAGTCTCCTTGTTTAAGCCATAATCCCTGTATATAAGTAAGTAAGTAATATATATATATATATATATATATATATATATATATATATATATATATATATATATATTGTGTATTTAGACAGCAATCCTTCATGTTTCATTACAAACTAAACACAAGGTACTACGGTTAAGTTTCTTATTTAATTTTTCTTGTGTTCGAACAAGAGGTTTCTTTTTGGGATACAGAGTATGTAGAAACTATCCAAATGTTCTATAGTTCCGAGCGCTTTCGGCTATACTTTTAGCCATTATCAAGGATGATTTTATTTTTTTCTATTTAATTGAGTGTGTGCGTTATGTGTATGCTTCTAGTTTGTTAAAAAGGTGTTTTATTATCTGAAAACGGTTAGCACATTGTGGCCTAGTTCGTAGTTAATATTATTAAGAGTTGGCTTTTTCTTTTTTATTATTAGGGTTTCCATTATTTTTAATCTTTTGTTTGCAAGAGGATGAGGTTATTATGTTTGTGTTTTCTACTAGTATGTTTCGAATGGAGTCTCGTAGGCTTGTGTGTGTGTTTAAATGGCTTCCAATGGAGCTCTAGTCAGATATGTGTAACGTAAGACGTCTGGATAGGCATGTAGCTGTGAGACCGATTTATTTATGAGTCCGGTTTGATCAGGAACACTGTTCCTTAAAGGGCATTTGAACTCATAGATGATATTCGTTCGTTGTAATTTTGACTTATCCAAACAGTTATCTGTTTGGATAAGTCTTGTTCTTATGTTGAATTGATAATGTTAATTATATTTTATGAATATGTCCTGAAGATGGTTTATTAGACCGAAACGTCCGACGTTGACATTATATTAACATTAAAACAGCATAATTGCATATAAGGATTTTTGTTTGTTTTTTTCCGTATATTTTTCTTCATATATATATATATATATATATATATATATTACGTAATTTAGACAATTTATCCATCACAAGCTTATATATATATATATATATATATTTTTTTTAACATACAACGTGTGTTAGCACGTGCAATACCCTGTCTTTTTTTTTTTATTGCACGGCTAACACACGTTGTATGTTAAAATATATATATATATATATATATATATATATATATATATATATATATATATATATATATATATATATATCTTGTGATGGATAAATTGTTAAATTACGTAATAATGAAAATAATACTGACATTTCATTTTAACAATTCAACAAAATTACACAAATGTATCTGGAAATACTAAATAGTAAACCACGGCCTCCAGATGACCTCGGAGTTTCCTGCAACTCTTCTGGACGGTCTCTTTGTATAAGTTGGTGAATACTGCTATAATTCTTGCCTTCAGTTCATCTTTGGTGTTACAAGGAGTTTTGTTTGTCTCTCGCTCAACTGCACCCGACACATAATGATCAAGGGATTTGCAGTTTAGGGAGTTAGGTAGCCAGATGTATGGGAATGTACTCGCATAAATTGTCTGACGAACATGACTGGGTTCTCTGCTTGTATGGTGTGATGTGGTGTGGTGCAGAGTCCTGTTGCCAGACATAAGGTCTTCCAGTAGCCAGCCTCTTGACCCTACTACCTCCTCAAGGCACTGAGTTGAGTCTGGGGCCCTCAGCAACAAATTCAGGAGTTCTTTTCTTAACACAACGACCAGAATGAATTTTCCGAGATGCCGTACCTTCGTAATCACCAGTAGACTCATCAAACTCTTTACGAATCCTCTGCACTGTCCCCAGATTGACACCAAAGACTCTCTGAAATGTTCGTATTCGGCGCGAATGCCAAGCAGTACAGTATGCCGTTTCCAAAATTTCTGGTGGAGTGAATTGTCTAATGGTGCTCTTTTTCTCACAGACGGTTCCTAACTGACCCCAACTATACTGTGCAGTTATCAAAATTAAAAGCAATGCGCAAAATTAAAAATATAAAATGGCGACAATTTACCCTTCACACCCGGTATGTAGTCGTCTAACTAAAAACTCTTTAGGTATTATACTATTTACACTGTTTACATTGTTCGGGCTGTTTTTCTTCTTCATTTTTGTTGTAATATTCACGAAGTTTTGGCCGTTGTACACTCCGACCTTCTTCAGGTGATATACGGTGGAATTTTGAACCAAACCCTTTATTTCGTCCACTGGAGTAGATTGTTCTAGTTCCACATGCCATGCGTTTTATAAATACACCAGTTTCAGTTTTATCCATATATATTGTGTCCCAATGTGTTCTTTGAAGTAATCCAATGACTTGACCCAAAGAGTTGTAAGTTCAATACCTGGCCACGGCAGAGGTGAACAAAAATTTGGAGAGTTGATTTAAATTTTGATAAAAGAGTTGAGTTAAAGGTATGGTACGTGCAACGAAATAAAACGTTTGGTTCGAAATTCCAACGGATATCACCTGAAGAAGGCCGGAGCGTACAATGTCCGAAACATCGTGAATATGACAATAAAGATGAGCACAATAGTCCGAATCATGTAAATAGTGTAAATAGGTAAAATACTTCATCTCAGAAATATAGATTATGATTATGTTTCGTTCTGTCCCCAGCCCTGTCCATATTATCTCCTGTGACTATCAAATCTTTCAAGCTCTCATTCCCCATAATTTTCACTACACCCTGTCTCTGATTCTATATATAACTGTCAATTTTATTTCAATTTTCCCGGAAACTTCATTTTTATTTATATGTTTCGTCCATGCTATTCTCAAAATCCTTCTGTCTCTTGTTTGTCTGACGTTTCATCTTCATCTGTGAAGAAATGGAATTCACTGTTATATAAGAGGATTGATATTACATAGCATTTCTTTGATTCTAATGATTTCTTATGTATTTTAATAAATTGTTTTGCTTTTCGATGTCATCATCCCTTTTCCAATGCACCGTTGTAGTTCTATGTCACATCCTCCATCGTCTGTTATAACACTTCTCGAGTTAAGTTTCTCTACTTGCTTGATCTGGACGTCTCTAATTTGTCGCTCGTATCATGGGCTGTACCTTTTGCTAACATATATTCTTTCTTCTTACAGCTAATCCTTTCTTCTTGCTTCATTTTAATAACTTGTCCAAGAATTACTCATCTACTTATTGTTTGTGTAATGATTCAGTCAACGTCACTTAAAAACCCTAATAGAAATTCAGAAGTTAAGGAAATTCCTTCCACATAAATTTACGGAAGGAAATATCGATCACCATTTGAACATTTTTGTTTTTCAGCTTCAGCGACACAGAAAAGATTTATTTTTTTAACAAGATATATGTTATATACCGTACCTATGAACACTAATTGATATGTCCAAATCCCCATAAATCCGTTGGGCACTATTGGAAGTGGCGGCAATACGCTAAGTAGTCCACTAGCAGTGGTTTACCTACTTCACGCCACTGGCGAGTATTGTATTTTGTTGATGTTATAAAGATTACAATTTCATTTCCAACCTTCGTTTTGGTTATTCCTCATTCAGTAACGCTTTCTATCTTACAACACTATCTATCTATCTATCTATCTATGTTAAACTGTTCATATCTATCTCTACTTGTTCATTATCTATTATCTATCTATCTATCTATCTATCTATCTATCTATCTATCTATCTATCTATCTATCTATCTGTTATATGCCGTACCTATGAACACTAATGGCTATGTCCCAATCCTAATAAATACGTTGGACACTATTGTAAGTAGGGGTAATGTGCTGTCTAAGTAGTCGAACACTAGCAGTGGTTTACCTACTTCACGCCGCTGGCGGGTATTGTATTTTGTTGATGTTATAAAGATTACCATTTCATTTCCAACCTCCGTTTTGTTTATTCTTCATTCAGCAACCTTTTTTAATGTCACAACAATATCAAAGGGGCAAAAATGAATTTACTTAAAAAAAAAATTATAGCCAGATCCCGGAGAACTTTCAAAATGCCATTCTAAAACAAAATCTACTTGTGATCAGTATCTTTTTTTCCATGATTTCACCCCAAGCAAGGCCATAATGTGACTAAGACGTAAGATATCACTCAGAGAAGAACAATAGATGATTCAAAATGGCAGACGTTGATACATACGTTGTTAGCTTATTCTCTTTCTAGAAAATAAAAAAAAATGTCATTTAAGTCTTCTGTCTTCTCCCGAGATGTCTTTATATTTTTGTATTATAAACATTTGTGTAATTATCTGCTTTCAATAGCTGGATTCAACTAAAGCCGATTGACAAGAGCGTCAGACGGAAACTGAACTCTATTCCTATCTGAGCGCCTCTTATTGTTTCCCCTAAAAACTGACGGATAAAATCTAATAAGAAATTCTCATACAACTCGATGTAAATGTCAGGTAATAATTAATAGACAAGATACTGCATGAAGACACTGAAAGGGAAAGACCGCTTAGGGAAATAGTTGATCAAACGTAATAAAATGTCAAACGAGATGACAATCATTTTGTGCAGGCTTTGATGTCTGTGCTACTTGCTAGACTCAAGTAAATGTCTTAATAGAGATGAAGTTGATTGGTTGGGAGTTATAAATCGATTTCGGTGTTGTATTTCAATTTGCCTAAAGGCGGGATTAATTTAACTGAATTGGAGCTTCAGTTCTTACCATTTCAGCAAATGGACAAAGACGCTTTTGCAGTTTAAATATTGTTTTTGCTTTTCCGTTTGTTTTTTGCGTAATAGCATTTTTCCTCGGTGACTTTAACTGTTTTTATTATTGCATGTTCTTTTTTAATTTTATTTTTCAGGATATTATTGGTGAAGGTATGGACTCAAGAAGTGGCTCAAAAAACGACATTTAAGGCATTAGACATTAACACGATCTTCTACGACAGGGCTTCCATACCTTTTTTTTTTCTCCCGCTCACCTGTATAGTAAATATTCAAAAGCATACAGTACAATGTAAATTATGTTTTTAAGGGCACTTATCCTTCCTTGTTAAATTCGAGATGGATAATATGATAAAAGAAAGTAGAAACTATTTTATATTAAATAAAAATTATCCTTATTATTCTTAATTTTACTGACAAAGTTGTTTAGTTCTTCTCTTATTTGATTTATATCTGATGTGGACCCAAAGTTGGGACCACAGAAGGAAAACACGGAACACGGATTAGAGGTAAGAAAGATATATTAAACAGAAAGGTTACAATGATAGTGTAAGTGTAAGCGGAGCTTACTATGTCCAATAATTGGTAGTCGTACGCGGCTGATACTACGGTATTAGAATACTCTCTCTCTCTCTCTCTCTCTCTCTCTTTCCTCCTCTTCTCCTAGGGTGTTATATCGCATACTTTATATAGTCCTGGAAGAGTCCATGTTGTATGTATGTCACGGTCTCACAACAATATCCCATAAAGGCTATTTCGTTTTAATAACTATTTGAACTGCCCCTTCACAAAACTATAGAAAATACCAAAAATATTCCTTGTTTGCGGGGATATTTATATGTTATCTAGGAATATGACCCAGTTATTCATATTTAGCCTTTTTTTAATACAAGTTCTTTACCGATCACCTTTGAATATTTTGGGGGGTAGTATATGTTTTTTTTAATATTGAAAATCCTATATCACCGACAAAAATGCCAAATCATCCGCCATTTTCTCTTCAGTTTCTCATCGTCCGACCAACAGTTGAAATCAACCATCGATAAGCGATATCGCCTAAGTTGGGAAATGCTGATTTACGAAGACATCGGATGATTTGAACCTAGTATTTTTCAAGATATCCCAGATTTTGTTTTCTTTTTGCGTGATTAAATTAAATCAATATGCACCACAATCTTCCCTTTAAAGAAATTTCTCCCGTTTTTCTCTTTCTTCATAAGTTGTTCTCTTATTCTAAGTACATTTCACTCTTTCTTTCTAAAAAAAATGTCTTCCTTTCACTTTGTGTATTTGAAAGTATATTAGTCCTTTTCTTACTGAGTCCAATGCTTAAATAGTTTAATGTATGTCTCTCTGTTCCGAATCACTCGATTTTCTTTTTTCTCGTGTTTTTTTTCATCAGAAATAAAGTGCTGGATTAGATTACCGTGTGATCACCGTCTTTTATATAATAGTGAATGCTGGACAGTGTCCCCACAGATATAGAGGAGACTGGAGACAACATAAATATAGTTCTACTGAAGGATACTGAGAATTCCATTGACGGAGCATGTAAGCAACATGGAAGTCTTAAAGAAAATAGCAAAATACACATTCTTATAGTCAGAATCAGAAAAATTTGACAGATAATGAGGAAGGAGGTCTTGGAAAACACACGGGGCATATTGATGACTAGAGAGACAGGGAAAGGCAGCGGATAGGAAGTTCTAGCAAGTCATGATTTTCTATGACATGAAGGGACGCAGTACGCAGAAGCTTTTGTTTTATGAGGTTTTTGTCATTACCGATGTGATTTCGTTTTACTTCTGACGAAGAAGTTGTGTCTCTCTTTCAAATCAATTATTTCTTTCTTCTCATAGACCTCTCGTTGCAATCTGTTTATGTTCTTTATCTGTATTTATTTTATTGTTTGCTCTTCCCTTTGAGACAAAAAGGTCAACGTTCGCACCGAACAGCAAATCTCTTTATCTGATAAACCAGCCGAGCCCAAATCTTTTGCCTGAAAAACAGAAGCAAGTGCAAAGCCTAAGGAAACCTATATATATATATATATATATATATATATGAGTAAAATGAAAGGTGGTCCACGTGTGCTTCTTATAATATGTAGATTTAATAGGCCGATTAATAAAATCCGAAGAATAAAAAGCCATGAAAATGATACTAATATTGTCAATAAGATTGATATTTGTGAATTTTGACTGTATTTAAATGCAAAAATAAGTTAATTATTTGGGAGAAAAGAGGACGGAATAACGTCTTCGGATCAATAATCATAAAAAAATACTATCAGTGATAATAACTGCCATATCTTGTCGATGAAAACTCCAACCAACTATTTCATAGCGTTGATAACATTGCTATCATTTTGTTGGTTCTTATTCTTCAAATTTTATAAACCGGCTTATTAAATCTACACACACAGAGATATATGTATGTGTATACGCAGCGATGGGTAAATTATCGCCATCTTTTATTTTTAATTTCGCGCATGCGCGTTGTTTGTTCTATAGTAGGGTTCAGTTAGGCAGCGTCTGTGAGAAAAATAGCCTACATCAAGTGCCTTGAGGAGATAGTCCTGCCCTGGATCAAGAGGGTTAGAAAATATGCGTTTTCCGGCAGGAATCAAACCTGTATTCTATGAGGAAGCAGCGTTATGTCTGACGTGCTATAACCGTTCAGCCATAGATAACTTCTGGTTAATCAAAGCTCGAATTAATATTTATCAGTGGTTCTTCATAGGATGCAGGTTCGATTCCTGCCGGAGAGCGCGTATATTCTACGAATTTTCTCTAATATTCAGGATGGTAAATTTAATTAATACTATTTAATTAAAGAACAGAGCATTTACTTAAATAAGTGTATCCATAAAAAATAACGTATAAACAGAAAATATATGAAATATTTATCAGATTTAATCTAGGTACCTTCACTTTTTCACGGGAAAACAACATAGCGTAATGAAAAAGGCCATAAACTTAACGAAAATAAAGTTTTATCGTCAAAATGTGTATGTTATTATTAAGATGAAAGACCAAAGTATTTTTTTAATTATTTTTTGAAAGTTTTTAATCCTTTCTAACACGTTCAAAATTTTGGTTAAAGTCTTCTTTTGTTTACGTCATCGCGGCGACATGAAAATAACTTTGTTGTTTTTTTTTTGCACTTTTTTCCGTTGAAAAGACATTGATTTTGAAATTCTTGTAAAAATAAAGTAATTGTCCGATTTTAATGAAATTTTCAGGACTTATTTACAAATGAATGATTATTTTTGAATACTTTTTTCTTTAGAAGATTTTAGGAAAATTTCTTTTTTTAAATATGTTACCCCCCACTTACTTAATTTCATGAAATTTCGCACAAAACCTTTCTATTTCCTGAATTTTTTTTTTTTTTTTTTTTTTTTTTTTGATTAAAAATAGAGTCTTTGGAGATTGTAAATCACCTACTATTTTTTTTTCAAATTTGAGCTATCGAACTGAAAATCTGCTCTGAATTGAAAAATAATGAATCCAATAAAACTATGGCATTAGTTAATTAGAAAAGCTTTTCATTGCTTTTGTAAATAACTAATATTAAGGACATTATTGTCTGAAGAAATGAAATTTTTCTGATGAATAATGAATTTTTACAAGAATTCTTTCATTTTTTTTAAAATTTTAAGTATAATAATTTATAATAGTTTAAAATCGCGTAAAATTCTGTATTGGACTATTTCCTGGATGTGATATAGTAATTTAGTGGAAACGGAATTTACGAATCCAAAATTGCAAAGATTAATGAACGTAGTTGTGCTGCTTTATTTTTAAAATAATTCTTTTATTTCCTTATTTCCATGTATGGTTGACTGAAATTGCCATTATTATGAAAAGGTCACGTGATCTAAGAGTTTTGTCCCTTTATTCTAATAAAGAAACATAACAGTAAAACTAAAAAAAAAGCGTTTACTCAGATTTCTAATAATTTTCATTTATGGTCATCCGTAGTAGCTGTCATCGTTCGTCAATCGACACTGAAATCAAATG